GCTACATTTGGAGCATAGCTCTGTATGGGGCTGAAACATGGACACTTAGGGCAGTAGGTCAGAAACATCTGGAAAGTTTCGAAGTGTGGTGTTGGAGAAGGATGGAGAAGATCAGTTGGACTGATTATGTGAGAAATGAAGAAGTGTTAATTAGAGTCAGTGAGCAGAGGAATATCCTACACGAAATAAGAAAACGGAAGGCTAATTGGATTGGTCATGTTTTACACAGAAACTGCCTTCTAAAAGAAGTTATTGAAGGAAAGATAGAGGGGCAGATAGAAGTGACAAGAAGACGAGGAATAAGACGTAAGAAGATGCTGGATGACCTTGGGGACAGAAGAGGATACTGTCATTTGAAGGAGAAAGCTCTAGATCGCATTAAGTGGAGGAACTGTTTTGGAAGAGACTGTGGACCTGTCATCTGACAGATTACTGATGATGATGATGATGATGAGTTAACCCTGAGAGAAGAACGCTGAATTTTTTTTAGTTGGCCACTTAATAACATCATCACTATTGCCACTGTACAACATCAGACAACAGGATTAATCAATGACAAGCAGTTGGCAGAATGATATTTGGCAGGGAATCCCACATGGTCTGACCTGGGACTGAACCCAGGCCACTGTGGCAGAAAGTCTAACCACCTGAGCTATGGAATAGCCTAAGAATGCTGGATAAAATTTTATCTTAAGCTAATGGGTGACAAGCCTCAATAATTATAATTACTACAGGCAGTAGTATCGCCTTTCCTGCTAATATGTACAAAAACAGACTCCTTCCACTGCACAGATGGAGCTTCCTTATTCCAAATACAATTGATGTGTTTAAGGGTCTCAGAATGCAACATTCCACTTCCTGACTGAATCAATTCTGCCAGAATTTGATTAATACTCTGACATGTAAATCCACTGATAGGTAACGGCTTGTTGAAACACATCTCTGAGGTTATGACAGAGACATCAATTCCTAGGTAACACATACGGAAATATTTCCATTACAATGGATAGGTAAAGGTTATTCATACAGCAATGAAGGACAGATATGAGAAGTAAGAACCCTTGGAGATGGTGATCTGCATACAGTTCGACAAAATCCTACCTCAGGGAGAGACAGACTACAAGATACATACTGGATACTGGACAGCAGTAGATGCCCAGTCCAAGAACAAGATACAAGAGAGGAGAGTGGGTACAGATCTGCTCACTGAATTCGTACAAGGAGCATTTAAGTGTAGAAGTGTTGAGGTCTGTGTGTGTTGTTGTTCCAGTAACATTTTGAAATGTTATAAGTATTTGTAGATCCACCTGGTGATTGTCCAATAAATCGATTCATCAATCCAGAGAACCCATTAATTACTTGTAGCATTACCAAGATACATGACAATACCTAGATATTCATACAGTAGCAATCTCAACATCAAAAGGCTCACAGAAATTTTGAAGCTTAAAATCATATGTGAAGTTCAGGTCTGTATATTTTTATGTCTGAACATCCATTGTTATAATATGAAACAAGCTGGTGCAACTCTTGAAACTTAACAAGGTTGCACAGTCTGATGTGAAGATCATTCTAACAAGGTGAAATACTGACAAGCAGAACCTTCATGAAAAAGAATACAGCACTTACCTTTTCCTTGAGAATCATACAGTGTGAGTCCTGAGTGTGATATCCTAGCTTCCTCCATCCAACCAGGTGGATATCCCAAAAGTCGCATCCTATATATGTGCTTTGGAAGATGGTGTCTGCCTAATCCTAATGCCTTTCTAAGTTTGCTACTAATCTGACCAGGAACAAGGCTAGCAAACTTCTGCTCATCATCCAGGTGATAACGACTAAAAACCAGAAAGCCATAATTTCATAGAAACAACAGACTTCATTTACAGTATATATACTGCATTCATAAAATCACTTCTCTGTCCAATTATAGTAATTATAGTACATTTTCTCTCAGTACAAAGGAACTTTCTACCTATTATACGAGTAATATTCCTTTCAAATATATTATCTAATATTAAATGCCTTACCAGCATACTCTCAGTAGCCTACTTTCCTTCCTTAAGGAACAAAGTTGACTTCATCAAGATGCAGTCCGGATTTGTCCTCCCTTTCAACTTTCAAGCCAATGCACCAATTTTTACAAAATTTTGTACGAACAATATGCCTTTGGAGGACAGCTCAATCCCATAATTTTTAATTTCCTCCTATCAGTAAGAACATGGCAGATGCAAAAGCTTGTGAGGTAGGCACAACATTACATTGCATCAGTTATTGTAGTTACTATTTGAAGTTTGAGGTCCTCGGAGTTGTGTTAAAATTACTGCTTCCAGGATGTAAAGCCATACAGTATGGCAGACAGGTACCAATAGTTTGGTGGAATGATACCTATTTACCATAACACAAAAATCACATTCCAGAAGACCACAATCTTCATGGTCTCTATTGGTTACTATGGTTAGTGGGCTTCAGAAGAATTAAAGTACAGCAGAATGCTGCTTATCTGCATTCTGATTATCCAAACTGTGAATTAGCCAGATCACTGCAATGAAGGAATGTGCCTGCTAAATAAACATCACTGTCAGACCTTTTCAAATAAACTATTTGAAAATGTTACTTTACATGTACATTTATTCATTTTTCATGGTTCACCTGTTTTAAAAGATTTTTAGTTTTTATTATTATAATAGCACAGTACATTATAATAGTGCTGTAATAGGGTTTTCTTGTGGATAAGAATTTAAGCGGTTATCTGAACCACCTTTGTTGCCAATTAATTCAGATAAAAGGCATTCTATTTTATTATCACCATTGTCACTATCATTACTTCAGACAGGGCATTAGTTTTGCCTTCCACTTTTAATAGTGATAAACAGGAAGAACTGAGAAGCCAACAATTTGTCTTAATGGGGTCTACACTGTACACTTTATAAACAGTTTTTACTGGAAACAGTTATGCTTGAGCATAAAAGTTACAAGAATCAGCTGATGTTTATCCAAGGCAACTTGAATATCCCACCCAGTGACCATTCTCCTCCAGAGCTGGTCACCAGACAAACACAGAAGCTCCCAAATCAATTAGAGCATCTCAGAAGAAACCTACCAGGTGCTGTACTGAAGCTGTTAATTCTAGAATGTTACAAATTACTATACCAGTCAAGGATTCACCTGATGAAATACATGTTTTGGTGACTAGTAAGACCGTGTCATCATTATGGTTACTACGTGATTCCTGTCATACTATCTGTAACACCCTGAAATTTGAGCCAGTATTATTTCCATACCTTTCATGTGGGTATTGTACATGAACAACTGTTTCACTGTGAAACTCTTACATGGCATTTCAACATAAGATCAAACATAGCTGTTATTTATTACAGTAGTAGGAACTTGGTATTATAGTCAACAGGTACATAATACACAGGCTCACTTCATGGTAGCTGCTCAAAGAATTACTGGCAAAATACTAGAGAGAAATTGTAATGTGTATAGGTCATTGACTTATGAACCACATCAGCCGTGGCATAGTTCAAGCGGTTAGTCACTGGCTTCCCACCACAGCGGCCCAGGTTTGATCCCGGGTCTGGTCAAGTGGGATTTGTGGTGGACAAAGTGGCGCTGGGGCAGGTTTTCTTCGAGTATTTTGGTTTCCCCTGTCAATCTTCGTTCCACCAAATTCTCCATCATCATAATCACCGGGGCAGGTACAATAAGCCAATCAGTGGCTGCCGTGCCGAGTGGACCCAGCTGGACTCCAGCCCCCACTAAGCAAATTTAAAAAATTTAAATTTCTTTATGAACCACATCATGAGACCGAACACTGCAGTGTGAGATTACATGATTAGCATCAGCACCTGCCACCCAATCAAAGGATTCGTGGCAGGCTCTCAGATGACCTTCTTGTTTTCATATTACATACTGTGACATTTCAATAAGGGCATTTTAATCATAATTGTCTGTCAATCCTCACTGTTTATTATCCATCCCTAAATTATGCTCTGCAGAGGTCAAGAATGGTGGAGCTTTAGCTCCACTACCCCATGTCTTCATTGCATTGTGCTTAATTAATTAAGCACAGGGATACCTTAAAAATAATCCTCAATTTGTTAAACTTTTAGATACATAAATAGTACGTTTAGCTTACTTCCCTTATTTTGAAAAAATAAGAAGCAGGTTTATATGCTCACCATCACTAACTCAAAATACATAACTGAGATCCAGAATCAGGTGCAGTTACCTTGTCTTATTCGGTGTTTGGCCAAATCTAGCAGAAAACTGTCTCCTGTTTCTGCTTATAGCTAAGGGGTCTCGAGGCAAGGGACAGTCACGAAGGCTATGAGTCCCTAGACAGTTGAAACAAGATGAGCGACTTGGTTCTCCATTTTCATTAGTCTTACCACTGTCCTCTTTGGCTTTCTGAAGAACTTCACCAAACTTCTGTGAAAGGGTACAAACAAAATACTTGAACACAAATAATTCTCTACCTCTCCCATGCATAATCAGAAAAGAATAATACCATGAAATGTCCTCTAATATTCAAGTAAACTGAATGTCTTGGTCGCGTGCATATCCTTCCTGCTTCATATTCATGAGATCACAGGCTAAAATATGTGACAAGATATGTATCCTAAGGTCTCCCGTGGTTTTCTTTAGTCCTTCCAGGCAAATGCTGGATGGTATCTCACATTAGGCCATGACCAATTCCTTTTGTGGTGTTTCAAATTCACTATTCTCTAATAATCCTATGATTCAGTATTATACAGTATGAGCTACTGACAGTGTCATTAAATCAACCATAAATAAATAAACCACATTCCATATTACAAAGTAATTTCTGTTTCCAGCATTTGCATGAAGAATGCACACAAACCCAAAGAAGCACAATCAGGATAACTTATTTAGTGACCAAACCACAAATACACAGCAGTGGTTGCTAGTACACCACTACATTCTGAAATATTGTACATTTGTACAAATGATTATGAGCAAATCATTTAGCCAAAAAAGTTCAATAATAATTAAATGTAAAATATAGTCAGTACACTTCAGGGCCAAAAATATAAATTCCATTATAAAAAAATTAACTGGCAAATTGTTAATCCACTTACCTGACTGTATGCTGGTACATCTAACTCATCTTTTATAGTTGGACGTGTATCAACAGTAAAGAGATCTGAATCATCAATCCCATGGTCTTGACAATCGTCACTCCCTGCTTCCCACACATCGAGTTCCAAATCGGACGTGTCTTCATCACAGTCAGGGTCATGTTTTGCTATCAGATCTTTCAAAAAATTTTTTATAGCAGCTTTATACTTTCTATGGAACATATAAAAGATTTTCCAATTAATATAACTTAAAATATTTCATTTATCACTGATAACCAATAAAATTTTTCACTCTCTTTATACAACTTCTGAATTACCAAACAAATACACATTTACTGATTGACTTCACTGAAAGTAGTAAATCATGTATGTGCATTTACAAGTCTGTGTACTCGTATATGTGTCAAAGTCTCTGCACAAGTAAGAATGTAAACAATCTGTGAGTAAGTAAGATTATGCACATAAAACTGTATGAAATGCATGCTTCTATGTTCAAATAATAAAGGTTCTGGCAGTACATCCAACCAAGTACAGCACTTCATCTGTTGTGTCTTCTTGGACAACATTAACTTCAATATGGCGTAAAAAATGTTTCAGAGAATATCTTAGCCTCCATCATGAGATATGGATGTGATGAGTGCCACACATTTGTAAATATACACACATACACATTAACAAACCAACTTTCACTGCCTGTAGTGCGTGAAATCAAGTGAACATCCAAACAATAAATAATACTCAGTATCACATAACACGGAAATGTCTATGTGAAAATACAAGCACTCGCCTATCCTAATGGCAGTGCTTCACATTATTTTTTCATCTGTCACACACCATGACTTGACAAAGACAACTGAGCAACACATACCAACAGAATAAACATTTTAGATTTAATAATTTAATTTAACATCCTGTTTCTTTCTAACTATAATGTGTGAGAACACAGCTTCTTACAAAAACTTGTGGCACACCTGATACCTCATGGCAGCAGGCTAGTTGCAGAACATTGCTGTGTACCATACTCAATGTCACTTGCCTTGATTATGGAACAAATAATCATTATTGAAACACATACCTTAATTTTAGGATAAATAAAATGAATCCCCCAACTCTGTCTAAGTTACTAGGATGTACAGCCAGATCTCAATGGCCTCCTCCAATCTCTGATGACAGTAGAACAGTTTCTAAAACTTTGGAATTTTACTTCATATCAATATGACTGACTGGCCATAAAGACCACTATATTTTGCATAATGAAATGTAACTGATAAGACTTTCTTGAGAAGCTAATTGCTAATAAGATCTAACTGTTTCTGGCAATGCTATATTAATGCAATTAACAGGTATAGAGACTAGCTCTGTCAATTCAGCCCAACTGAATAGGTTCCACCTGATGATAAAGACAGAATCTAGTCCCTGAATCATTGTTTTCAAAACAAAAACAGGATGATTGATAATGTCCAGAAACACAATAATCGTAAGCTAATAGTTGCTAAGTTACATAATAAATATTACTTTTTTTATAAACTCTTACACTTCATTATCCTATTCATATGCATTCACAAACACCGAACGTCCTTCTCAACATTTAACAAATATTACAATAAATACTTCTTAGGCCCCCAACCAACCCTCAAGCCAGAGGACCACCCTTTTCTGACTGTGCACAACTGCTTAATCAATGTATGTGCAGCTGTCCTCCATATGTGGAGGCCACCTGCTCCATCCTGAGGATGTGCCATGCAACGGTAACAAGAGACCACCCTAATTAACACAAAGGCTTCAAATTTTATATCACTCTTTAACAGGGATAATGGCACGACACAAAGACAACTATTACACACAGACACCAACTTAAGCCACAAACACTGCCTCATGGATAACCACACGATTAAGCCTTGTAAGTCTGATATAGCAAGACAGTAAAAATAGGGAACATGTAGTCAGAGGTCAAAATTTCTTGCATTCAACAGTCCTCAACTATAGAGTCTTAATTTGTACAATCAACTTTAGACCCAAATGAATTGACACTAACCTTGCTGTGTCTCGATCTCTGAAGGAGATGCTAATAATTGGTTTATTCTGGTTAGTGGACGATGCACAATTTGTTTCTTCAACATACTTATTACACTCCTTTCCAACTAAAAATGTGTTATTTTCATTCGAAGTTTTATGATTCGAAACCCCATTGCTCCCAGTCAAGAACGACACCTGAACTGTGGTTTTCTTAGTTACACTCCCAACTACGCACCTCTCACTGCTGTACGAATCAAAACTTTCTTCGTTGTTTGATGTGCTTCCACTCACGCAAGTAGAATCATTATCAATACTGTCATCTAACATAATTTTACTGTCCCTGTCAACTGACATAATGAAACATCGCACAATTAAACCAAATCAAAGAAACTTCAACAGCCCCTGCCGCCACCGTCTTCCCCAATAATTACACAACTCAAAATAACTTCAATAGTTTCTGCTACGATGGGACTTATAACAACTGTATCCGATTCCACCACAAATTACTACGGTCATCAACGGTTGCTAAGGTTCCTAAGCCTTGTTAATTATTATATCACGGACAACACAGACAACAAAATCCGTGTGACCAACTGTCAAATGTAAAAGTACCGCAGGTTCCAATTGGTACTGTGGTGTCTGTGGAAGGTTGTAGCCAAGTATTTTTCGTGTTCAAGTTCTATTATCTGAATACATTTTACGAATAATAATTTTATTTGCGGTCATTTTAATGACTATACGAAATAAATTATACCATGAACAGGTATTACTTACTTACTTACTCATGGAGTAAGAAGGAGCCTCCAATTCTGCAGCTACTCAAGAATTTTCCAGCATTTTATGGAACCCCAAGGTTCATTGCCTTGTTAACAAGAGCCCTCCACTGGTCCCTACCCTGAGCCAGATCTATCCAATCCATACCATCCCATCCTATCTCTCTAAGATCAATTCTTATATTGTCC